TTGGGCATCACCAAAATACCCAAAAGACTTGTTGGTTTAAATGTCAATCTTAACTCATCAAAGTACTGACAGATTATTTAAGATAAACTTGAAATGGAAACTTTTGACTCAAAATTTGATCTTGATTTGCAAATTATTTATTTAGAATTTACTTATTTACTGTTAGCAAATTTACATCTTAAAAAGATTACATATGAGTAAACAAGTAAGTTTTAATAAATGAGCATTTTTATTGGTAAAAATGTGATATAGAAAATTGAACAGAAGTAAAAATATTAGTTGCTAGTAATGATTTTACAACACAAAGTAGTGGACTACAGTAGTTCAGCCATCCATCATGTATAATGATTGAAAAAAGACGAATTGCCACTTTTTGCCATGATCTTATGCAAGCGTGAATAGCTTCACTTTTTGTATTTGATGATGCACTCATCAGGAAGTGCATAATTAGTACTTCTTAGACACAGCTATTTCGAGATGCCTTTCAACTAATATGGAGATAGAACAGTTAAATTTTGTTATTTTATTACTAAAAATGAGACTTGATATTTCATCTTATGTGGACCAGTGGGAAATGGTGATGAAAAAAGAGAGTACTCAAATAACGTGTTTGTTAGTTCCGGGATAAAAACAATTTTTGCAAGATTATTCGAACTGCTAAAAAAAAAAAGCACTTCAAGTCGGCTGCCTCTGATATTTATCAAAGATCTAACACTTGTCCAATTTTCATAAACGGGTGACAGTGAGAATTGAATGCAAGACTTCAGTGCTTCTAAATACTGTGTTGAATCACCCCATCTAAAACCATAACATATAAAAGAAGGGTACACACATGCACACACACATAAAACATTGAAACACTCTACTCCCGTTTGACACCCATTTTTTTTATCTCATTCTCATTCTCATTTTTCTACGGTACTCATTTCTAACCACACATTCTCCAAATAAAATGATATTACACATAAATCCAAAAATTCTTCTTACTTTTTAACCGCACATTCTTTACATCAATCACTATTAAAAAACTCATTCTTCAAAAGAATGGGTGCCAAACAAGCCCAAATGGTACTTTTTGAAATTTGGCTTCCGAATCTCATTTTTAGGTTCATTGTCCCCATGAGAAACAGGGAACTCGATAGTAGAGGGCTTCTAGGGACTTTTAATAAGGCTGAAGGAACCATAGGATCATTCAAGGTATGATTTTTGCAACTCTTTTCTGAAAGCAGGTAATTGTGAATATATTGTAAAGGCAAAAGGTTGTGGCATTTCACCTATCCTGAGGCATGGCATAAGCCTCGAGTTATAGGACACTTGCCCCACGAACTTTAAAAATTCATTGTATATCAATAAAAATGCTTATCATTTTTGTTAGAACGTGGAAAAGAAAGTACTATTCCCATTACGATCTTTGTTGTCTCGCACAATTTGTCTACCGTCAAGTGATTATGTATTAGTTTATGTTATCTGAAGTTTCTTTTTTTTTTGTTACTGTAGGAAATTTTGTCGAAAGAACTACCAGATGCAAAAGTGCTAGAGCCTACTCCAGGGTACCATTGAATATTTCATCTACTGTGGATTCATAGAGTACAAGTCTTACAGTTTCATGTAATTACATGTACTTCATCTGAAGAACTGTGTTGTTAAAACTCGAAAAAAATTCAAGTAAAAAAAGAAGAAACTTTGTGTACATATGGATATATAGCCCATGATTAGGCTCATTAAATTTTAATGCATTTTTTTTCAACTTCACGTTTTTCAATAAAATAATATTACATGTAAATCCAAAATTGTCTTCGTTTTCAACGACACATTTTTCAAAAAATCACTATTTTAAAATATATTTTTCCTTAAATTCCATTAAGCCCATGTTTGAAAACCATTATTTGGGAAATATAGAATTTTGAATGGTAATTTTTAGAAAAATGTGTGGTTAAAAAATAGGGAAGAATTTTGAGTTTACGCACATAATATTTTATTTTTTGAATGTGTGGTTGAAAATGAATATATAGAAAAAAAAAATAGTGTGAAAATAATGATTGTCAAACATCAGCTAAAATGGAGCCCAAATAAGGGCATAATTACATATAGCCCTTGTTTGATTTTCATTATTTTCAAAATATATTTTTCTTTCTTTTTTTCAATTATGCATAAAATAATAGTGTACGCAAATTCAAAATTTTCTTTTATTTTTTAATCACGCATTTTACATTAATTTACTATTTCAAAATACACCCTAAAATAAAATAGACTCTGAATAAGGGGATGAAAGATGTACATATCTCAACACGTAATATATAATATAAAATGTTGACCCAAGAAATAAGCACCAACGAGTGTAACGTAGTTAGGTGAAACAAAAATTATCTCCAAATTAAGCAATGTCCTGAAATGATTTGTATCCTCAAAATAGGGTGGGCGTGGCGTGGATTGTATTAGATTGGTTTTGAATAATAAATTGAAAATGATCGTATTAAATTCATAACAATTTGAAGATAATAGTCTTGCACGCTTTTGGTTGTTTAAATTCATAATAAATTTAATCGAATTAACAAAAAAAATCAGATTTTTAATTTTCAAACTTAACAAATAAACTAAAAAATTCATCAGTGAATTGTGGTCAAATAAAGTATTAATTCATTAACCGTGAAGAAAAGAAAATTATCTTGCCGTCATGGAAGAAAGTAAAAACCACCAAAAAAGCTATGGCAATGAGATGTTGAGGGAAAAGAAAGAAAGAAATTAGGTTTTATATTTGTCGTGTAACAATAATTTATTTAATTAAAAAGTATACTAAAATCCTAACTATGTAATTTTATTTAAGGATATTTTTAAGTAAATAAGAAAATTGTGGTGTATTTAATAAAATTTGTAGTGGTAATATAATTACCAAATTTAGTGTAAATAAATACACCATATTTTCCTAAGAGGACATTTTACACCAAATTCCCTCACTATTGGAGATGGTCTTAGCATGTGCATGAATTTTTTCGAGTGAAATGCCTCGTAAACTATAAGATTTATATATGTGTGTGCGCGCGCGCCCGAAGTTTGATTATCTTGTCTTTAATATAGGGTTATAATAATTAAAACAAGGGAGTAAAGATTTCTAAACTCAATAAAAAGATCCGATGCGTTTAAGCTCTGAAATTGAGTGTTTTTTTCTTCTTCTTTTTTCAGCTTATGAGCCAATATATTATTAGGAACATTTTTCATAAAGACGCGATAACATGGTTCATAGCTCTTGATTAAGAAAATCCTCAATACATTCTATGTTTATTCATTCGGTTAAACTACGTATACAATGATTTTATATAACTAGTTTGATAATCTATGATATGTAAACATTCTGATCGTTGATTTCAATAATATTTACTCATTAATTATCAAATTAGTTGTCAAAGTAATTGTACATGTAGCAAAACTCTTATTCATTAGCCAACACCCACCTTACCTAATAGGAGTCGGCTTAAATTCAGAAGTTAGTTAATTTTACTTTTAAGTAACATTATTATTTTACTTTTTACAAGCATGCACTAGCAACCACTCTTTCTTGAATGAACCTAACAAGTTGGGGGTAGAATTAGTGTTCAAAAAGCGATGCCTAAGCACATCTAGGCAGTAGGCGTAAAACGCCTCGCTTCGCACTTTTTTACTTTTTTTCGCACCTAGGCTCACTTTTTTACGCTTTTTAATGATTGTTTACCCTTTTTTTAATTATTAAATAGTTTTTAGATTGATTTTAAAAATAATAATATTAAAATAAAAAATATTTTTTTATGCCTAAATTGAAACTTGACCTTCATGTTTCGCTACCCTTAACATTTTTAGAACATTAGTTAGAATAAATTGGAGAGAAACAATGTTGCTCTTAAATTCATGGGTTGATTCATTTAAATGATTTGATCGAATGTTATAAAATATTTAGTCTATCCTCACGGACACCAAATTTTCAGATGAAATTATTAAAGTCCGATACTAACAAGGAGCAACAACGTTGCTCTTAAACTCTTGTGCTGGGGTTACTCAAATGATGTGGTTGAATGTCATAAAAGATTTAGCATCTCCTAACTGGACATCGATTGATTTTCAGATGATATAGTTAAATTTCGATCCTAACTAAGCCCCTGTTTGATGACCATTATTTTTGAGAAAACTAAGTTTTGAACAGTAATTTTTTGGAGAATATGTGATTAAAAAGTAGGAAAATTTTTAGTTTTATATGTAGAATATTTTATTGTGTAAATATTTGATTGAAAATTAATATGAGAATTAATTTTTTTTTTTTGTAATAATGGTTGTCTAACCGGACTAAATATACTATTATAATAGAACATGTGGTAATTGATGTTGACCTATGATTAGTTCCACGTGTTTTGATTATAACAAACAATACATTTATGATTCTAACATATCTAGTTTCTTGAGTTTTCATGTACAAATTTCTCTAAAACATTCAAAGGCATAAATCGTCATCAATGAAGAGCATGCAAACAAAAGAGACTCGACGAGAACAAGAATCATGAAGAACAGTATTTAGAAGTTATTTATTGAAACCTTGTTTATATGTAAAGGTATACTCATCAATTCTTAGCAAAGCAAATAAAGCTCAAACTAGGGTTCATTATTCATCACATGCATAAAAAGGTTTTTTAAAATGAGATAATTTTGGAAAATGAACATTTTTATATATAGTAAACTAACTTTTTGTTCCAGTCATTTCGGTTAACTGAAGTATGTCACCGGTCGACCGAAGTATGTTTCGGTCGACCGGTTTGATTTACCGAAGTATCAACCGAAACTCTAACGGTTTGATTTTTGTAACGACTATATCACACTTCGGTCAACCGAACTGACTCAACCGAAAGATACTATTTTGCTCTATAAATACTCTTTTCTCTTTGCATTCAACAACTACAACTTACAAGAAATTTTAGAGAGCTTATGCATTCAATATCATTGAGATTATTTA